TTGGACGAAATTCTCAGACTTCTGGTCGACTGATCCCAGTACTCTCTCCAAGCAAGCGATGGCACTTGTGTTCGCCCGGGGCAGACGACAAATAGGAGGGAAGATCTCAATCTCACATTACTGCTTCCAGATGATGGAGAACACCATGCACATCGGGGCAAAAGCATTACCAGAAAGATTCGAGTCTCATTGTGAGAGCAAGAAGGTGATAGGCCCTATCCCACAGTACCGCTTCCAGACAGTGGAGGAGAAAATGCGCGTTGTAGTGGAAGCATCGTCATCACGATTCAGATCTCACTATGAGAGCAGGCAAGCGAGCGACCCAATCTCACAGAGTTACTTCCACATAGCAGAAACGGCTATGCCCTCAGTAGCGAAGATATCATCAGCACGATTGGAGTATTGCTGTGAGGGCGGCAGGTGACTGACTCAATCTCACTCGGATCTCGATTCCATTTCTTGATTCCACAGGGAGGAATCTCATGGTGGTTTCCGGATTGATGCTATAGATATTATCGCTTGGCTGAGCCGGCAGCGATTTTCCCTGGAAGTGTGTTCGTAGTATGAAAGATTGCGAGAGCTGGCAGACGTTAAAGAAGATAATAAATGCTTCAATCAAGCATGATAGATTGTTATCGTAAATATTCAATTCTTCTCGTTGTACGCCTAGAATGATCTCGGAACACCTGGACAATTCTAGAGTCTGTTCAGCTCATATCTCTCCCAATGTCATTGTTCTTTGCTTTTGTTGCCTGGTCACTACTCCTCATCACTGGTGTCTGTATGCCATAGGTCTTCATCCATGGTGTATGAAAACAAGGGCTGATGATACCAATGTTGTTCTACAACCCTATGCAATTCCTTCTCGACACTGCCTCTGTCTTCTGCCCGTAAACTCATATGCTGGTACTTTGTAAACAAGCCGGATTCACCATAAGAGGGCGGTACATGATTGATCAGGAAATCTAGTTCTTCCGCAGGCATAGGAGGTGGGGTTTCTTCTGTGAACAAGATTGTTCCGCGGGCGTGCATCAAATGGTGAAAGAGTATGTACGAAAGTCCCGGGCATGAGCCAAGCAGGAAAGAGAAGAATGTTTGCCATGGTCGTTCTTCGTCTTCACTGTATGTCGCGAAGACCGCAGGGTTGGTCGGAGATGTTTGGGCCGACGACAAAAGTCGAACGTCTCTAATTTTGAGACTTTCGAGGTTCTTCGCACATGGCATTAGAAACGCCTTAAGCGTGGCCGACGTGGTAGTGACTTTCTCCAGCTTCACGCGTGTCAGATTCGAAAGAGACACAGCTGAGGAGAGCCTTTGCAGCGCGACGTAGGGATAGCTCAAGCGCCAGCTGTCTGGATTTCGTGCGCTAGGGGCTAGTAAATGTGATTGTTTCCTGTCTGGGAAGATCTGTAGGCCGAGCTCTTTCAGATTGCAAGTCGCCTTCAGTAGTCTCGTCAGGCCAGATCCGAAGTCTTCCGGTCGACGGAGCGTGTTGTATGGTTGTGAGGCCAGTTCCCATCTGGTGTTGAGCCAACCTTTGACAGCATTCAGCTCGATATACAGGACCGAGCTGCACGCCGCATCGAGTGTTGCTTGAGACAGCCCATGCGGCAAGTCGTCTCGAACATTGTCTATCTCAATCGCATCCGTATACAGTCTCTCCAAGCTGACTTTCGCGTTGGCAGTCGCCTTTATGATGGCAATGAAGAGATTCGTGGGCCCAGATAAGCTGTAGACAGGCCCAGATGGTATGGGCCCGAGCACTCGCGGATCCTCTCCAACAGCGTCTTGAAGTATAGACCAGCCATACGGGCTGTATTCTTCGCTTCTCCGCATGCCTATTGTGGTAATGTTGGGCAATTTCCCCATGATGGCGGCAAGTGTGGTTTCGAGCTTGTTTGTATGCAAAAGCTGCGCGTGGTCTCGCATGACTTGTCGATAAGCTTCATACTGCCTGGCAAGCTTGTCAAATTCTCCAACGGGAGCCTCTGGATCTCTCTCGAATGGGGTGATCAGCTCGTCGGCATCATCCATATCAGAATCCTCATCGTCCGGAGCACATTCTGGTCGGGCAAAAGTGAAGCAGTCCGGATTGAACCAAATGTGCTGGATGTACTTTCTCAGCTTCTGGTGGTCTGCTATGGATCGAAGGCATTCAAGAGCGAGGCTAGTGACCATAAAGCCTTTCTTGCGGAAGAAACGCTTGCCGAAAAGAGCAAATGAGGCTTCTTCAAGAGCTTTGTTCGCGAGCCGGCCAGCGAAGACATCTTCATCATCGAGATAAGTGAAGATCAAAGCGATGAGTTCTACTGGCAGCTCGAGTAGATTCGTCTTCGGAGAGCGTGCCATCGTCGAGAGAGTCCGGATCATAGATGGGCGGCGATATTTTGAGAGACCGTGTTGCTGTTTACACTGTATCTGTGAGTGACTTTGGTGCTCGGTATTCCCGACCAAAAGAGGCGCCAGTTACGCCAGGAGGCAGCAAGCCACAAACGGAGTCACGGGACCGGCTCCGATTTCGCAATCAATTAATTAATCAATCAATGCATTGCTATTCATTTTATCTTGGAAGTGGAAGCAGAAGCGTTCACCGACTATCACCATAGCGTAAACTCCAAGCACTTTGCTCGGTACTTGTTGTGTTTCTACACGTTTCCCTCATTGATAGCATCGCATGTATTGCTTATCTTGTTTTTCATGTCTTCTCCCTTAAGGAGTTTGCTAGTTCGGAAGAGCAAACCAATTTCGCTCTTGATACTATCCTTTAGTGAAGGCAAGTGCCATCAACGGTATCTCACAGCCCGAGGTTCATGGATCAATGATACACCACAATATTGTGGAGAAACTCATAACAAACACTGTGATTCTGTATCGATGGGACCGAGTATCCAGCTGAGCGTGAGAATGGCCGAGCCGCCGACCAGTAATCAAGTCGCTTCTGCTCCATCGTGCTTTTGATGCAGCTGATCATAAGACCCGGGGACAATGTACGCAGGTTGCTATGGTGAGCGCTTCGAGCAAACTCCTGGCCTTTGTCTGCAATTGTCAGCGTCTCTTTGCCGAAGTCCAGGTGGCACGGAACCGCCAGCTCTCTTCTCCTCATCAGGTCGACATTGTGACATGGGCTGTTTGAGTTCTAAAAGCAGCGATCCGTCTGACCCAGGAGAGAATGATGACAGTGCGCATTATCCGGACTTGTCTATTCCAACTAATACGCCCGATCCAGGAGAGTGCAGCAGTGTCCGATACCCAGACTTGTCTGCGCCCGAGATCATAGGCCCTAGACATCAGCCCAGGACTCAAAAGGAGCAATCATCGAAGCGAGTACGAGAGAGGCCTCCAGCAGTCCAGATGCCGGCGACTAGGCCTCGCGGCGCCCGAGATAGCCAGCAGAGAGCGCAGCCGGAGCACAAAACCAGTCATCCCAGGGAGCAGAATGATATTGAGCTTCAAAGTCACGCAAAGGGTCGTGACTTGGTGCCTACAGTGCGCTCAGAAGCATTGCAAGACCAAGATCCGGCCAAACGATCGTCATCTCGGAGACCGTACCAAGCGTATGTTGAGGACGCAGATGAGGAGGACGAGGGCGAGGATCAGCAGTCGTGACCTGGATCATCTTCGGTGCCTTACACCAGATGATGCTTCGTGATAGTTGAGGCAGCACGGCGAATCCAGAACAGTTCTTCGTTTCTTGCGATTGCTTATCAAGCAGGAACAGAGCTCGACCAAATCTGAAGTTCTGAACAACCCCCGCCACATCGCCAGACTTTCCCATGTACGTCACAGTGCTCTCCCCTCGGCTATAACATGGCAATAGCTGCACTGTACCTGCACCACCACAATTAATACTCTAGTAAACATGTCCTCCACCTACACCACAGAAGCTCCACAACTCATCCCTCCCATCCTCGAAATCCCCCCGAAATGACCTCCAACAAAGTCCGCGCCTGGACCTTCACAAACGGCTACCCATCCACCCTCAAACTCTCGAGCCTCCCAGTCCCCAACGAGACCGAGATCCTCTCCTCGCAAAAGAAACTGCTCGTAAAAATCCAAACCTGCGCCCTCAACCCCGTCGACATCCAAAAGATGAACATGCCCAAATTCTCCTACCCGTGGGTCCTCGGCGACAAAAGCGAGAAACCCTGCGTCATGGACTTCTGCGGAACCGTCCTCGCCGCGGGTTCCGGGACAGATTTCCAAAAAGGGGATGAGATTTTGGGGTTGACGTTATCGGGGGGTGTGTTGCAAGAAGTCGCAGTTCTGGATGCGGGGATGACGGTCGCGGTGAAGAAACCCGCGTCGTGGAGTTTTGAGAAAGCTGCGGCGGTGACGCTGGTGTGGTTGACTGCTAAAGCGAGTATTGAAGCTGTTGCGGCTTGGGTTGAGGGGACGAAAAGTAAGAGAGTTGCGGTTTTGGGGGGCAGTTCGAGTACGGGGATTTTTACGATTTTGTTGGCGAAGCGGAAGGGGTGGAAGGTTGTTGCGACGAGTAGTGGGAGGAATAAGGGGTTTGTGGTGGATGAGCTGAAAGCTGATGGGCATGTGGATTATACGAAGGAGGATGTGAGGAAGGGGGTTGCGGATTTTGGGCCTGATGCTGTGATTGATTGTGTGGGTGGGACGGAGTGTGTTGGGTTACCGTCGAGTAAGAGGTATGTTTCGATTGTTGGGGATAAGACGGGACGGACGATGATGGGGGGTCCGTATACTTATTATGATTGGATGCACCCCTTCGTTGCGGCGGGACAGTGGTTGAGGTGGGCGAAGGGCGAGATTGGGTTGGGGGAGAGTTATGATGTGACGATTTTGAAGCCGAAGAAGGAGTGGCTGGAGGAAGCGGTCGAGACTTTGAGGCCGGAGGAGATATTTGTGGACAGTGTGTATAAATTTGAGGATGCGAAGGATGCTTTTGAGAGGCTGAATACTGGGAGAGCGAAGGGCAAGGTGGTGATACAGGTTGCAGGCGCTGCAGGTGAGAGGAGCAGACTGTAGAACGCACAAGGCAAGGCAAGCAATAAGCTATGCAACACTCCCATTGATGCCTTCTTTTGATCAGTGCTGTGCAATGCAGCCCCAGTCCATTTTCCGCAAGAATCGATGGCCGGATCATGGCCCGACATTCGAAGTGCTCGATTTGAGCAGCATGTCGAATCTTGTCTTGTGTTCATAGCTCCGAAGCTGTGCAAAGAGGCGGGCACACCGGGGTGCTCAAAAGTCTTCTCCAGTCCAAAAGTGTCGGTGGCCCTTCCAAAGTCCTACAATGGCTACAAGCGTGACTGTTGTTAACCGGCTTATCCGTAACGCCGTCCGCCGTCACACTCCTGACGTTCCGACTGGCATGGCAGCACGACAAGCATGCCCAGGCGTCCGGTGCACCGGGATCTCGCTCTCCCTTTCACATGCAAGGTTTGCGAGGGTGCTCGTCGGGCGAGGGAAATCGTATGAGATCCCCGTCTTCCGCTTGTGCCAGCGGCTTTGCATGATGATCCTTATGCAGCCCAGCGAGCGAGACCCTCACGGAGCTGTCGTCACTTCATCACTCGACCTCCGAAACGTGCCCTCACCACCACCAACATCCCCATCCGCAGCGAAAGCACGCCCCCGCCGCTGCGCTGCCGCCGCCCGCGTGGAAGCAAGACCGACCCAAACTTGGAGGCGAGAGACACTTCCAATCCCCACCACCGCGCTCGCAATGGTCAGCGCTCAGTGACAATGCCTTTCTCTCGTTTCCTCGACGGACGCGATCGCATTCTATACGCCCCTGGCAGCTGTTCTACTTGACATTCTTACGGCGGCTCACTCCCATTTGTTAACTTGTTCACTGGCAGCATTTTCACCGTCGCAGCCTTTCGCCCGCGCCTCTACGTCCACGTCCACGTCCACGTCCATTCAAGTCGAGTCGATCTCGCTCCCCGACTGATCCCTCGCAACACAATCGCTGTGCAATCATGTCGAACACCTTCGATTTCCTCGAGCCGTGGAAGGAAGTAGGGCTGTTTCTCAAGAACTCCCTGCCAGACAGAAGTTCCTTTCCCACCAGCTGGAAGCAACCAAAATTCCACTTCAATTTCATCACATGGCACTATCTATACATGGTCGGTATGACCATTCTCGGCTCCATCATGCTCTACCCAGCCGGTCTCATGGATTATATCGACGCGCTCTTCTTCGCTGCTGGAATGGCCACCCAATCCGGACTCAACACCATCGACGTCAACACCCTCTACACTTACCAGCAAGTCGTTATGATGTTAATGACATGCATATGCACACCAATCTTCATCAACACAGTCGTCGTCTTCATTCGCTTGTACTGGTTTGAGAAACGATTCGAGCATATCGTGCAAGAAGTCAGGGCACAGAAGAGGACGAAGACAAGGTCGATCGGCAGTCGCTCGAAGAGTCAGATGCGAGAAGGGAAGGATGAAGATGCGGATCCCAGCAAATTGGAGCAAGGCGTGAGAGGCATGTCCATCACAGTGGACACTTCTACGGCAAGATTCATGGACCCCAGCGGGCGAGGCGAGGACACTGAGAAGCACCGTCAGAAGTTCAAGGAAAAGATCGGACCTTCCATTGGAGAGGAGAGCTCGAGCAATACTCCTGGTAGCAGCGTGGACCGGACGGACGTGACCTCCAGCTCCGATGACACGAGATCCCTACCTGTTAACCAAGAAGATCAAGATGCAGAGACGCCCCAGAGTCCATTCATGGGATTGAATCCACGCCTCAATCGAGAAATAACGTTTGCAGATGAGGTGCCCGCATCAGGCCGACGGTCGCCCGAGCTTGCACGTGTACCCAGTCACCGAGACGTTTCAAAGCACATTGAATTTCTGCAGCGACAGCAGAACAATGCGAAAAAGGGCGGCGCTCTCTACATTCCCGGTCCTCGAGATTTCGACCGTGGTGAGCGACCAGAGGAGCTTGAGGAAGATCTCGCGATCCAACGACGGAAAACTCGGCCGACTCTGGGCGGGCGGCGATCTACTGATGACCCACGAGGAAGAGGAGGAAGCGACACAGCAAAGGATAGCCCTGGTGCAGACCACCCTAGGCGGGGCGTCACCATCAATCTCCCGGATCATCCTGCGCATCGCGATCAGATGGCTACGGTCGAGAAGGATGATGAGGAAGATGGTGATGGCATGTCGCGACTCGGTAGGATTAAGAGTGCTCTGAGTCTAGGAAGAAGCCATCGCAATCCGGGCGAACACGAGCACAGAAGTTTCGCAAAGACGCTCACCAACCTTACGCACAAGAAAGAAGACGAAGACCCGATGCCGTATCTCAGCTGGACCGCAACGACAGGAAGAAATAGCATGTTCGTCGGCCTGACCTCGGAACAGCGAGAAGAGCTCGGAGGCATTGAATATCGTGCGTTGAAGCTTCTCGCCAAAATACTCATTGCGTACTACGTTGGATTTCACCTTCTTGGAATGCTCATTCTCCTGCCCTGGATTGCATCAACGCAGCCCTGGAAAGGCATCGTTCGGGCAGACGGTCAAAACCCCGTCTGGTGGGGGATCTTCACGCCTGCCTCCATGTTCAACGATCTCGGCTTCACCCTCACTCCGGACTCGATGATCTCGTTCGATAACGCAATTCTACCGTTGCTATTTGGATCCTTCTTGATCATTATTGGTAACACGGGCTTTCCATGTATGCTCCGCTTCATCATCTGGTTTCTATCCAAGGTCGTCCGACACGGCTCTGGTACCTGGGAAGAGCTTCGCTTCCTGCTCGACCACCCACGTCGCTGCTTCACACTGCTGTTCCCAAGCAAAGCCACTTGGTGGCTGTTCTGGGTACTTGTGCTGCTCAACGTGGTCGACCTGATCTTCTTTATCATCCTGGACCTCGACGCAGGCGTTGTCACCGACCTGAGCCCGGGCTTGCGAGTACTCAATGGCTGGTTCCAAGCTACATCGACACGTACGGCCGGCTTTTCTTCCGTCAACCTTGCTGCCCTCCACGCGGCTATCCAAGTCAGCTATATGATTATGATGTATATTTCCGTCTTCCCCATCGCTATCTCCGTCAGGAGGACGAACGTATACGAGGAGAAGTCGCTGGGCATTTTCGGTGGCGAAGAAGACCCAGGCGATGATTCTGATCAGAGTTACGTCAGCCAGCATTTGCGGAGGCAGCTGTCGTTCGATCTTTGGTATATCTTCTTGGGATTGTTCGTCATTGCGGTCGTGGAAGGCGACCGCATTGGTAACACCAACCAATACGCTTTCACCACGTTTAGTGTGCTGTTTGAAATCGTATCTGCGTATGGTAAGTCGTTTCGCGTGGGGATAGCTGCTGCTGCACTGTCCCATTGCATCACAGGTTGACATCGGAAGAGAATGTATGCGCTAACACAATTTCGCAGGCACGGTCGGCCTCTCCCTAGGCTATCCAGGCATCAACGCATCGTTTTCGGCTGAGTTTCGTACCACCAGCAAACTGGTCATCATCGCCATGATGATACGTGGAAGACATCGTGGTCTGCCATACGCCCTCGACAGGGCCATCTTGCTTCCAAGCGAGAAGCTCCACAAGAAGGAAGCAGAAGAGGCTGCTGTACTCACTCGGCGCCTGACCCGGCGAGGCAGTATTTTCTCCGAGGAACACCGCCGAGATGGACCATGGGAACACGAAGATCTCGACAAATACGGCCTACCCGCACAGCACACTGGATCCAGTCACGGACGTTCGAAGACTGACATGGCCATGACTGCCGGCGCTGGCGGCGATGAGGAAACACATGGCCTTCAAAGGCGCTCAACGGCGGTCAGCGCGAACAGTAGAGAAGGCGCGGTCGGCTTGCCAAGTCTCGCCAGGCATAAGCCAGGAAGGAGCTTGAGTCGCATTATCGCGGGAGGACTTGCTTCTGGCCCCACTTTCACTAAGCGTCACGGTGCTTGAGTAACTGCATCCCACGTTGCGACGGGAAGTCGCCAAGATCTGGTCGTGAGAAAAGCGGATGCAGAGCCCTCTGATCTGTACATAATTGTTTTGGAAAGCGAGGAGTCTGGCGTTGCGATCGGCTAGTAGCTGATATGATCTAGACCAACAACAACACTTTCTCTCTCCGTCTTTCTCTTCCCACCCACTGAAACCTGCGCCATATCATCCCGGTCTTTGGAATCCGACCATTCCCCGTCCTCTCGCTCGCTGGCTAGTCCGTCTTCACATTCGGTGGAAGCCGCTGTCCGTCGCACTCATCCCGAAGCCCATATATCATCCCCAAGCACGTGGCCCAGGAGTTACTTGCCTGAAGCGTTCTTGTGGTTTGAGAATCGAACGTTGTGGTCGGGATCGTTGTCGTGATCTCGATTGAATTGAGCATTTCTGGGGTGGCTTTTGGTGCGGATTTTGGGAAGGTTGTACTCGCTGGTATGCGGTTTGGGTCTGAGAGTGCGGCGACTTGGGTGAGGGTTGTTCTTGGAGTTGAAAGGAGGAGGAAGAGGGTGGAGAGTTTGAGATTCATGTTTTTTTTTTCCCTTGTTTTGGATCTCTTGGATTGGAGTGGGAGAAGGAGAGGAAAGGAGGGAGGAATGGATGGGAGAGGAAAGGCTTAGATGAGAGGTTGCTCGTTACCAAGCTATGGGCGCTGGTACCTTTTTTTTTCGAAGACTTTTACATTTCTTACCTGACCTTTCTATTACGCTTTTTCTTTGTATATTTGATCCACTGGCGATGAAGATATATCTTTCCAAGGTATTAGCTGCGTTCAGTCGGCGAACAGGACTACCTTAGAGATTGGTTTTGGTGATGTAGTAGGACATATCGATTGTACTCAGATGATCTTTGCATGTTTACGCAGCTCATGCGATTCTTTCTTGAAAGCTGTCAAAGTCGTGCTGGAGGAGTAAGAAGATATCCTCACTTGCCATTGGCCAAGAATCCCACGTGCGCCAAGCTCGGCGATCCACGTCCTCCATCTAAACATGCCATTCCACCTGTACAGAACCCGCAAAAACCCAACATGCCTCCCAAGAAAAAATTCATCTCAACCAAATCCAATCCCACACCACGCCCCGAACCTCGTCCATCGACCTGGGCCGATCCCGGAACATGGACTAGTTCATCATACAAATTCTTACCAGCACATATTCTATCGCTTTCATCGCAATCGCAATCGCTCTCATCGACGCCAACCAACTTCTTCATACGCGCACTGCATCGCAACACACCTTCGACCACGCCTTCCGCATCAAAACGCCGTCCTCTCTCAACCCCCATCACCACTCCACCCACAGCTAGGAGATCGGGTACGCTGACGAAGCCACATAACAGATTTTCAAATCCCGAACGATCGGGGGGGTTTTTTTTGTGGTGGAGCGAAAGAAAGCTTTGCCCCCCGGGCCGAGATTTTTGGGTTGGAGACTTGATGAAGCTGCCGTGTATGGGTTGACAGTGGCTTTTGGGGATGATCGGGGAGGATTATGCAACAAGCGAAGAGAGGAATGAGGGAGAATGGGAGTGAGGGAGAGAGAAAGAAAAAAAATGGATGTAATGTTTGTTGTTGCCGACAAAAGCGGCGAAGCTCAAGCGCAGTTTTAGAGCGCGAGCAGAGAAAACTGTCCCGGCGGGTTCGGGAATTGTATTCAGTGAGTTGTATTTCCAATAAAACGTCTCAAAATTTCCGTTTCAGATCCTTTCTTCCATCGTCCACTGTCATCAACAAGTGAGATGCCTTCAAAGCTCGAAGAAATAAACTGGCATATCATAGTGCAAGGGTGAAGCGCAAATTAGGCAGCAGCAGCGACAGCTTGACGAGTCTGGCGGACCTCGGTCGCAAGGACGTTCTCGAGAACTCCATGAGCGCCGTCCTGCTTCATGTTGCGAGCAACATCGTCAAGGCCAAGCTGAGAATCCGTCCAAAGTGGCTCTACAGGCTCGGCATTCTTCACGCCGACACCAATGAAACCACCTTCGGCAGCCCAGTCCGAAGTACGCTTGATGCCAAGTTCGTTCCACACGCTGTCGAGAGCCTGGACAAGATGCTCGCGGAACTCCTTGACGTGGCCGGGCGTCGGCGTGATGCGGAGACGTTCCTGGCCGACGGGCACGGTCGGGTAGTTGATGGCTTGCACGTAAATTTTGTGCTTCTCCAGAAGCAAGTCCGAGGCCTTCTTTGCCAATTCGGCGTTTCCGACAAGAACGGGGATGATGTGGGATGGGTTAGGAATGACGGGGATATCGTTGGCGTCCAGAGCGGCTTTCACGGCGCGGGTGTGGAGTTGCTGAAGACGGCGATCGCCCTGGTAGCTCATCTGGTACTCAATGGCAGTCTGAGCTCCAGCCATGGTGGCGGGAGGGAGAGAGGTTGTGAAGATGAATCCTGGCGCGAGCGAGCGAACGGTATCGACCATGTTGGCATTTCCAGCAATGTAGCCTCCCACGCAACCATAAGCTTTGCCAAGAGTTCCCGTGATGATGTCAATGCGATCCATGACCGTGCCCTTGAGGTGCATTCCGCTTGCATATGCATCGTAGTCGAGGTGTTCAGCGACACCGGCTCCATTTGGCCCGTACATGCCGACTGCGTGAACTTCGTCCAAAAAGGTGATTGCTCCATACTTGTCGGCCAAGTCGCAGATTTCCTCAATGGGGCCAATGCTGCCGCACATGCTGTACACACTCTCAAAAGCAATGATCTTGGGAACTTCGGCGGGGAGGGAGGCCAGCTTATCCTCCAGGTCTTCCACGTCGTTATGCTTGAAGACAATCTTTTTTGCGCCGGAGTGGCGGATACCCTGAATCATAGACGCGTGGTTCATGCTGTCGCTCAGAATCACGCAGTCCTTCATCTTACTGCCCAGAGTAGCCAGCGTGGCATCGTTCGCCACATAGCATGAAGAGAAGACGAGGGCGGCCTCCTTGTTGTGCAATTTGGCGCATGTCGCTTCCAAGTTCATTGCATGCTGGTTGTGCCCCGAGATATTGCGAGTGCCCCCTGCACCAGATCCGTACATGTCCAAAGTGTCGTGCATCTTCTTCAGAACCTGTGGGTTGCGACCCATGCCGAGGTAGTCGTTGGAGCACCATACGTCCACGCGCTCATTTCTAGCAGACATGTGGGCCCGCGGGAATTCCTGGGCCAGGCGGTTGATGTTGTTGAAGTAACGGTAGGACTTGTCCTTGTGCTTCTTGTCCAACTCGGCATTGTAGAATGCGTCATAGTCGAAGGTGGTCGGCTTCGGTGGGGGTGGTGCAGCGGCTGGACCCTGCTTGACAGCGGAGTGGGTGGCGGCGGAGGATTTCGCAGAAGATGGGTTCAGGTAGGGAGGGTGCTGGTCGCGGGCACGATGAGGCATGTCAACAGCCTTGGCCTCCTTCGCACTGGTGGTATGCAGGCTGGCGCGAGGAAGCTTGGCGTGGTAGGCACGAGAGCCACCGAAAGCTCCAGCCAGAGCGGCGTTGCCGACCTGGGCGCTGCGGACGGACAGAGCCTTGCCCATGATGGGGCAGCGGCGTGCAATTGTCTGCAGATTGGTCATGGCGCCGCCGCCCGGAGCAGTCTGCTGGACGCTGGTGCTGGTGGAGAGGGTGCGCAGAGTCGCTGGGGACGTCTTGTTCAGGAACGGACACATGGCCCTCGATTGGCGGAGAAGAGCCTCCATTGTGCGGTGCGGTGGAGGTTCAGATTCTGCTTGTTTAGTCCAAGAGAGTCAATGGTGGTCGGGAGGAACGGTGAAGAATTGGGAGCGAACGAAAGCGGTCGGAGGCTGAGGCTGACTATATGATTCTGGACTCGAGTCGGGACCATCTCTCGCAAACGTGGGGGCCTCAAAAAGTGTATTGTGTCTAGCACGTTGTTAGCAGCGAGCAGCGGCAAGGCAATTATGAGATTTGGAAAGTGAATTGGCGCCCTGACAAATGCCTGCCTGCCATTGGCTCTCCTCATGCACGCACTCCGCAATCTGGCCGTGGCGTTGCATTTTGGCCTCGGTCTTCCACTTCCACTGCAAAAAGCACAACATCGACGAATCCCTTCACTTCACACTTCTATACGTGGCTTCTTCAGGCGATCGACGACCGGCAGATGCTTCGTTGCCGTCTTTGCCGTGCCCTGACCTGACCTCCATCTGTAAGTACATACACTGGCATGCCAAGCTTTCCGCCCTCTGGTCTGAACAACGCTCCCTACACCCATGCTAGGGCTGACGAAGCTGGGATCGAAAGCAGCCGCCACGTGAATGGGTTGGAATTCTTGTTGGTTAATTCTCTGGTTCGTGGTCAACTATCGGGCATTGAAAGCAACTCGGCACAACTTCTTCACAGGCTGTACATTGATGGGGTGACCTCTCTTAGTCCCCATTCAAAATATGTCTCGCGATCTTCTCCGCCAAAGCATATATCGTAGACTGCGGATGACCTGGAGGGAGGAGGGGGAAGGACGATGCATCAACCACCCTGAGTCCCGTCACACCAAACACTCTTGCTCGTGAGTCAACAACAGCCATCGGGTCCGAAGACTTGCCCATCTTGCAAGTGCAAGAAGCATGCCACACCGTCTGCAGCGTATCGCGAATGGTCTCTAAGATCTGAGAGTCCGTTTGCACCTTGTCCGTGCCGGGGAAATATTCGTTCGGATCGGCGAGGATGGGTTGCATAGCTCTGCTCATGAAAGCAGCTCGGACTCGCTTGTAGGCGGCTATCGCGACTGGGAGGGGTGTTAGCTCATGAAATGAAGTCTTTCGTATCTGCGCTTACCTTGCTGGTCAGTTGGAGATGTCAACCAAGCAGGGTTGATGAGTGGTAAGTCATCGGTGTCGTCTGAAACGATTGTGACGTTACCGCGCGAGATGGGTGCCACAAGCGCTGCCAATATCGTGGCGTACTCGTACCCATCCTTGGGCTGATCCCTGGGCAGGCTAGCGAAGTCGCCAACGTAGCCTGGGGCTCCCAAATATTCGATCTCGGGCCAGTCGGGAGAGAAGCGGGACAGATCGGACTTGGACGATGAAGAGAAGGTACTCCTAAGAGCGGCTGGCACTTTCTCCCATGCGAGGTAGTCACAGACTGGGTTCGTGAGTGGTCCACGCTTCAATACTGAGTAGTCGACGGCAAATTGCGATGCAACGTATGCCGGATCGTTGGCCAGCTTAGTGAACGTCTCCAGCTTCACGCGGTAGGACGGTCCGAAGAAGATATGATCCCACATGTTCTGCCCCACTCCAGCCAGATCGGATATCACAGGAATGTTGAACTTGGACAGCGTGCTCGCTGGACCGATGCCGCTGACCATGAGCATCTGAGGGCTTTGGAACGCGCCTGCGCTGACTATTACCTCTTTCTTTGCAGTGATGGTGTATGGCGCCAGGCCAGCGGACACGACACTCACGCCTGTTGCTTTCTTGTTCGAGTCGAAGAGAATCTTCTTTGCCTTTGTGACTGAGTACACTTTCAAGTTCGATCGACCGGAAGCTGCGTCCAGGAACGAGGTTTGGGAGCTGTCCCGGTTCTGGTTGTCTGGTTGAATTGTGGAGCTGCAATACTGCGCTCCCATAAGGCTACCGCTGTTGAAGTCCAGAGCCTGACCAATGCCGATTGCATTCAGTGCTAGCTCAATCCAGCTGGAAAATGTCGATGCATAGTTGGCGTAGGAGACTCGCAAAGGTCCACCGGCCTGGAATGCAGCAGGGTTGTATTCTGCTGATGCATTTTCTGCACGGAGAGGACCAGGAGGTGTGAATGAGACACTCTTCTTGAAGTCTGGCAGCCAGCTGAAAAAGGTGTAGGAGGAATCCCCGACAGCGTCTGCCCACTGCTGGAGGGATCCAATCGTCGGTCGCTGGTAGATCATGACTGGAATTGACGCTGGTAAGCAGTCGCTCACTGCCCGCAGGAAATGACTGGGCACTCACAGTTCCTAGCAGAAGAGCCGCCGAGGCATTTGCCTCTCGCGTAGTGGATTGATCGTCCATTTGCACCTGCTTGAGGTTGTGTGACGAAGTTCCAGTCCTGAGGAACGGGAGTCAGCTTGCACAGTCGACTTCAAAGAAGGTGAACGGGTACTGACCACGAGTGGATTGGTGTCGGAAGGGTCAGAGCCGGCCCAGAAAACGTCTCCTGCGGGAGTGCTACTCAGAACCGGATTCGTAACTTCATATACTGAGCCAGCTTCAATGACAGCGACACTTTGGCTGCCGTCGGCGCTGAGTCGATTCGCCAGAGCTCTGTAATGGTCTCATTAGCTGTGGCCTCATCTGCCATTGCCGTCCTGCTCACAGTCCTGCCGTTCCACCACCCACGATCACGTAGTCAAAAGCATTATCGCTTTGCCGCTGCTCTATGGAGAGACCGAAACATGTCGTCGATCCGACAAGGATCAAAAGCTGGAAGGCGAGCATTGAAGATTTCATAGGCCGCAGGAAGATTGCTTCAGAAATCCAAGCCACTTGCTTCCGTTGCGTTTGTGCTACGTGAAAACCTGGTATATATGCTCATCCCCGTGGGGAGATAGCTAGACTTGCATCATGATGCAGGCACTATCAGATTTGTCTCGTCTCAGTACTTGATCCCTTTGAAAACTCGTTGTCGGAGGAAGTTAAGCCTATCCCAGTTAGCGCCCGTCCGCTGGCTGTACTGTCTCCGAGCGGTCTGTGAGCTCTACGGCGGGCGAAAGCTGCGAAACCAAGCGGGGCCCCACTTTTCCACCGACCGGACCTGCAAAGGGATGAGGTCGAGTACAATCAGATCCGCGGGCAATCCACAGAGCGAACTCTCCACCAAGCTCCTCGATTCGTCAAGCGGCTCGGCAGCTACGTTTTGCGTTTTGGCTATAGTTGAAGCCAAAGGCTATCTTCAGACCGGTTCGAGCCTTCCTGAAATGGCGCTCGTAGTATTGGGGCCCGTGGGGCTACATCGCACTGAGGAAGAGTCATGGCCTCGTTCCGCGTCTTCGGTATTCATAATGATATTAGGACGACTTTAGCAGCGCATCGCCCTTCCTCAGTAGTGGAACGCAGTCCAACCACTTGCCGCGATGCCAGCGAGCTCCTGCTCCGAGGATGTCTGAGCCCAGCAAGTCTCATGTGTGACCTTCTGCATATGCCCTAAATATTGAGGAGCCAGAAGGGGTATATGCTAACCAACTGTGTGTGTGGGTCACGACTTGAACCTCCGTTCTAGTGGTGAGGGATTAGGCACCTTGCGCAGTAGGTTTCCGGCCGTTTAGCATATGTAAGAAGCCGCGAATAGCGCTGTTTTAGCGCCGGAAAGTGAATAATATAGATAACGGTCCATATAAGGTTGCGCAGGCAATTTGGTAGCGTTTTATAGTAGACTGCTTAGTAAGCAACCTCGGTACTAAGAGGCAGCTAGGGTCGTAGACCTTACTATAATTAGTACTATAGGTTAGATATTAATTGCTACGCTATACTATAGAAGAATACGACTCGGACGGCTTCTTAACTAACGAGGATATTGTCGCTATCTATAGTAGAATACTAGTAACAACCGTAGCTATATTAGCCTCCGAAGTAGACTATAATCTACTAGATCTAGCGGTACGCCGAGACGGTAAGACTAAGCGTAAATACTAGCATAGACAGGCTCGTAATAATAGGCTATATAAAGCGCTACGAGAATATCTAAAGAATAAGAAGTAGTTACTAGAAACATACCCTAAAGCTAACTTCTAAGGTAACTTCTACTTTACTAAGCAATAGGTATTAGAATTAGCCGATTTGCTAGATATTAGGTCTATTATATTGCCTTACCGTATACGTTGCGACCCTATAATAATACTATATATTATATATAGAAGGCTTAGCAATCCGGGTTATTAAAGGAACCTAAGCTAGACCTTTAGTCGTAGTAAGGGTTAGATTAGTCGTATATTTAATGCCGCCTATACTTAAATAGTAAGGAGGTAGAAGGAGCGATTAGTATAGGACTTTAACCGGCTAAGTAAAAAATACTTATAGCGGATAGCCGTTGCGGTAGCTAGACTAATTAATATAAAGGGTATCTTTAGTTATATCGATAGTACCTTACGGAAGTGCTATAGGCCGACTTATAACTAGCGGCTGTTCTATAATAGATACAAGCACTTCTATAGCCTTAAATATTAAGGCATTGTCCTTCTAGATAGTATAATATTACTATATAGTCTAGCACCTAGCTCCTACGGTAATATAACGTTAATAATAGAGAGTAAATTTAATAAGGTATAGAAGTCGTATTTCGAGGTACCTAGATAGCTATAACGACTCTTCGAAGAACGGGTATTCTTATATAGTAACTAGGTATATAATATAGTCGATAGCGTTATAGGAAGCTAGAAGACCGTAAATAGCGAGTTTCGTAATACTAGCGAGGCTACGGCGGCTAAGGAAATAAGTACTATACGGCAGTCGGTAGAATAGGGGTTTGCTAAGATAGTTAATAACTTCGAGTTAATAAAGTACTTCTATAGCCTACGAGTCGAGTTAATACTAGTCGGAGCTATATATTTAGTCGCAATACTGCTTACTAATTGCCTAACTTGTTATCGTAGAAACAAGATTAGCCGCCTATATAAAACTAGGCCGCCGAGTGTATATAAGTACCTCGCTAATCTACCGCCGCTACTACTACCTCTAGTAGCTTAACTAGCCGATAGTAACCTTCTACGCTATAGTAGGGATTTTAGAGCGGGTTTCGATATAGGTAAAAAGGCGCTCGATAGCGGTATTTCGTTTAGATATAGTCGTACGGTCGTACTAGAGTATAAGACTAATAAGATTAAGGTTGTTAATATAACAGATATAGATTAAATAATAATAGAAGATAGTAGAACTATTAAAAACGGGTATACCCGTACTAGCGCGTAGTATACCGCGGATAATGCTTTGCGACCTTAAATATAATAATAATATTACTATTTTTCTAACCTATTACTAGCCCTATAATCTTTAGTATATAGTGCGTTAAATAATCTAAAAAAGAACGAAAACGACCTATACGTTATCGCGTAGTAAATCGTAGAAGATTGAAGCCCGCTTACTAAGCGAGTAAAGGTCGGCTTTCCGCCTTACTTCGAGCTATATACTACGATATATACTATATTGTTACGCCGCCCTCTTAGCGATCGAAAGCGCGTTCTACGACCGAGTTTAAACCCTGCGATTTATATAAAAAACAACAGTCTTAGTACTCTCGTACTAAACGAGACTACGATTTCGAAGAGGTAGCTATAAAAGAAGGATACTAACTAAGTAATTATAACATACGATAACAAGATAGACTATAGTTGCTTTACCCTAATACTAATACCGACCTAATATATTAAATTATCTACGAGAATACCTTATCGTCGAGGGTATTAAGGTCTACGAAGCTATTACTATTATCGTCGTTGTCTATCGAGTCCGTTTAACTGCCTATAACAATGTTATTAGAAGGAAGCTCTATTTAAGACAATAGTAACGGCCTTAATAGCAACGAAGTAGTTATTATCGCCTATAGGGCTTAAATACTAAATTAGATAGCATTAAGTTAACGTACTATCTTTAATTTAACCTCTTTTACCGCCGCGCCTATTACGGCGCTTAAGTCGCCTCTAGCGCTTACAAATCTAGTAGAACTTAGTATATTCGGCGCCTCGCTAGCAGCGCTAATAATAGAGACACTTAAAGACTCAAATAGCGACCTAATTCTACGTTTTAAGCTACAGCCTTTAGCTAGTATCCTTAGTATATTAAACATAGGCGATAGTACCTCTTTAAGTATAGCTCCTTAAGCCTACGACCCTCTCTAAAGCCGTTTAGACTTAAAGTCTAAGCGACGACGCTTAGTAAGCTAAGCAGTATTGCTATCGACCGTACTTAGCGTAGATAAGTCGATAACTTCTACTCTCTAGATAGGCGTTATTAGAGCTACCGCTAGAGCCGCCGCTAGAGCCGCCGCTAGAGCCGCCGCTAGAGCCGCCGCTAGAGCCGCCGCTAGAGTCTAGTTGTTGCGCTAAGATAGCGTCGATAGTATAGCGTTACGCATATTCTTAGTAGGGTAGTTAAATGCCCTTAATTCCTTAGTATTTAATATCTTCTTACGCTATACCTTATCTAGTCGAAATAGTGTCTCTATAGCCTAGTTAAGAAGCTAGTCTTAAAGAGTCTCTATAACAACTATACCGGAAGCCGCTTCTAACGGTCTTCTAGTAATAACTCGGCGCTTAATTATAGCCCGATAAGCCCTTACTAGATTACTAAGTATTAGCTTACCTATCGGCTAACTAGTAAGAATAATAGCCTTAAAGCTATTGTTCTACTTACGTACCTTGCTAGTTACTCGTTTATAGGCTGTTGCAGTACTAACCTTAGTAAGGGTAAGCTCGCCGTCCGAAGAGATATAGCTATTACTATTAACTCGGATATTGCTATACTCCTTAGCGATAGAAGCGGCAATAATCTCGTCTTAAGAAGGTCTAGAGTTAACTAAGGTTTAGCTATTAGTTTAACTATCGGATAGAGCGCTAATTAGTATAGTAACTAGCGCTAGAATTAGCGTAGAAACAGACGCCGTAACTAGCGTAGAAACTAGCTAGATTAGCGTTAAAACAGGCCCTTAAGATAGCGTAGAAACAGACTTAATTAGTATAGAAACAGGCCTATTAACTAAACTAGCTACTAAGTAATAGGTTAGACTATATAGTACTAGTTAACTATAATAGTTACGGAAGGTAGTAAGTAGTATATATAGACCTAAGCGAAGGTACAGATCGCTCTACGAGAAGTCGAAACCTAGATTAAGGAGGGCGGTAACACTAGACAGGACACACATTAGGGTCACCAGAGCCGCTATAATGCTTAGAAGGGCTAGTTTGCTAACAAATATAGTAGTCTAGGCATCTATAGTGCTCTTAGAAGCCTAATATACACCTCTCTCGAGGTACGGACTAGTTCTAATCACAATTGCTCTCTACCGAGGTCTCTATAGCTATTCCTATAACGGCTCTTAGAGTAATTGTATATAGGCTACTAGACCTATATAACCCTTAGTAGCCGCCTAGCGACCTTTACCTACCTCTTGCTAGACTTACCGTCTTTATATATATATATATAAGGAGTATATAGTAGCTAGTAGATAATAGCTACTATACTAGAAAACTGAATTTAATAGAAGGCGGAGACAGGGTTTAAGCTATTTAGCTAAGGATTTAGCATACTCCTTTACTTAACTACTAACGGCCTAGCGTAGGGTCTAATTAGCGTATTTTCCTTTATATAAGGGTGCACGGTTAACTGTACGAGCTCGTATAGTTACCTGTGCTTTTATTTACTTAATCCTTTACGTACGGATAACTGCACGGAGCTTATTCACATATTAAGGCGCTAAGGGGTGCTACTGCCGCGTATACGGAGCGCAA